CGTTTACAATTTGTCCGTCTTTACTAGTCGTTTTTTTAAAGACATTTCAGTTTCAGATAACTTTATAATGGTTGTTACGGATAACTATCGTCATTTCAACCGATCTCGGCTGGGAAACTACTTATTTTTAACTTGCGCACCAATTACGGTGCGCTCCCGGACTTTGTCTATGGAGGTACGCAGGGCTGTGGTGGGGACATCTATCAACCGAACGCGTCCCCGTACACACAGCACTGTACGCAGGGCTAACCATGGACGACCATGACACAACTTAATTATGCTTATAGGGTCTTATGGAAGCTATAAGAGCACAGATTACATGTAACAGAACTGTGAACTTTTTATTAAAAGAATTATCTCCAAAATTAAACAAGCTGTGTTTTGAGAACTGAAATTCAAAATTCGAGGACTATTAAGGTCAGTTATTTTAATTAATTTGTTAGTCAGCTAGCTACACGAGTCATGTTTGCTGTCATATCCTGTACGTCCCTGGTGTAAAATACATAAACAAAGGGAGGCTTCAAAACAACATGACTCAACACGTCGCCTTGAAAAGTTGTCATGCATGAAAAAATTAGAATGAAGTTAAAATCAAATTTAAAAAACTAACAACGGTTACTTGATGTCAATAAGAGGCCCGTAGTTGAAAAATCAAATCTTTTATGGGGTAAAAACACAAGCAGAGAATTACTATATCATCGAAATAATGACACCTTTGTAGGTACCATTGTTGACGAGGTCACTGATGACTTACTTGAACCCGGAATTATTTCCAGGTAAAAGCAGAATTGATAGAAAAATACACACTTTATAGATGCATACTACATAAAACCTGTGATACGAGAGAGTTCAAGTATAGCTGACACTCGTAAAACTAAAGTGGTGAGATTCTTTTTGTTGGTAAACCAAAGAAAGGCCGATCGAGACTGAATGAGTGTGATAAAGTTGTTGGCACCTCTTCTCTGGTTGGAAGCACTCACCTTCTTATGAGAAAACGAAACAGGTTCTCGAAAGAACTGTGGCGTCGGTCTTGGACTTTTGAAATTGTCCATCTTTACACATCTTGATACACACTTTGGCAGCAAAAATGTGACACACGCAGATAAAACAGCTTCTTACAAATCCCTTCAATTCGACTATCTTCTCACTACATTGAGAAATTTGCGCGTTACTTTGAATAGTCCGCCCGGCAGTAAACAACGTTACGCATGCGCAGAGTGGCAAAGTATTAGGCTCGTACCTTGCTATTTTTTAACAACTGTTTATAAACAAATATATATTGTTGTAACATATAATAATATTTTAATTTTTTTGGAATACACTATATATTATTTTATTATAATTATTTATTTATTAAAATAGTTAATATTTCTTTTAATAATATTAATTTAATATTTTATTATTGAAAGAGGATAGATGACATCATTTTGCCAACTCGACTGGGCTTTCCTTGTAGATGACGCCACTTCCGTTTGCTCCAGCAAAAGAATAAGAATCAGCTGGTCTGAGTTTTTGCGTCCTGTCCGAGTCGACGAGGAACATAGAAATGAGGCGATCCGCGGGCTGTAAGTATATTTTCAATGAACCAAATATATAATCGTTGGATTATGTTTCCGTACACTATCAAATTGTTGCGAACATATGGAAAATAAATAGACTGGGTCAAATTCCAAACAAGCGACTTTGAATGGCTCACCATGGAACTATAGTTCCATGGGCTCACTGACGTGTATTACGAGGTTACAATGGTCCCATGCTGCCTGTATTTATTTATTTATTTGGCGCTGCTTTTAGAATCTTTCTACCTATAGCTGGGTTAACTCCGTCCCTTGATATTACGAAACACACGTGTACAAATATTGTACGTAAACAATAACAGTAACAGTATAATACAGCTTCTTATAATAAGTTGTGTACTAGGCCAAATCATATGTCTTTTAAGATCTATGGCCAAATAAATAGTGTGTTTCTGGTAACACTGAAAAGAAAAATAGGCACTGCAGGTGGGAATAACTTTCGCTTACTGATACCGGTCCAGTTCTTGTATACTGTGTTCTCCACCATGAATATCTGATTATTCGGAAACATAAGATTGTACTGTGAATTTAATGCTGTATGACACCATATTCAGGTCTTATGGTACCTGTTATTAATATTCCCATGTTGACTATGTCCCGGACTGTTTACTTACTTATCAGTGTCTGACTGGTATATACAAAATGCTAATGTGTAAAATACCCAATGTGTAAAATTTTACACATAGAAATAGAGAATCACAATATGCATAGAAATGAACACTAAATACAGCTATCCCGGCCTGAATAAGAATCATGATCAGTCTCCATGAGTGATGTAACTGGTATATCCATCTATTTGCTTAGTGGTCTGAGAGTAAATATTGTCTAGTTCAAAAGTGTCTTTACATACCTCAATGTAAACATTATTGATACAATCAAAGATGTACATTTTTGTGTTTATTTATTTACACCAGATAATATAAATGAAATTGTACAATTAAAATTACATTATTTATATGTAAAGAGAAACAAATGTAGGTAGCAAATTTTCTGGTGTCGGTCGCAGAAATAACTCTGAGGAGCTATTTGTTGAACAAGAAAGTCAGTTTTGGGTTACTGCCATTGTCAAATTTTGGAGAGTAGATAAATAAATGTTTTGTAAATGTAAAGTTACAGCAAAAATAAATGCAGTTCGAAATTGGATACTATTAGTGACACCGTTTGTATTATTTGATTACAGATTCTCAAGGTGCAAATATTAGTGCTGTAATTCACGGGGGCAAAGGTCAAAAAAAAAATTGAGGGACTCCAAAAACATAATTTACTGCATGACAAACTTTGCAATGTTCTGGTTATCTCTGAGCGACTGCAGTTTTTGAAACAAACTTGAAGGACTCTAAAAATGCAGTTTATGACACGAAAAAATGCAATGTAATGCAAATAATGCAATATCACGACAAATGTTTCAAATGTTCGTTCCATGTTTATTTGGTGATATGAATGATTCAGTCCAGTGCTTAGATAGGTTATTTATTAGAGGCGCCAAGGGAACCAAAATTTAGCGTGATTGCCTTTCCAAGCGAAAAAGGTTGAGGTCAAAACAAAAAAAGAATGATTTTCACCCAATCATCCATTTTTTGGGTGATATACATATTATTGATTCAGCCCAGCGGTAATCTAGGTTATTTATTAGAAGCACCAGGAGACCCAAAATTTGGGACGTGAATTACTTGGACGACAATAATCAACAAGATGTGAGAGACTACCGGTAGCGATAGCTACAGTGATTGCGACCCCAAACATATTTTACTTTTAGTAAGCAAAGGTAAAAACTGTGTTTATGCCATGAGAAAGTAAAGACCTTGAACGTACTTTAGCGCAAGCAAATTTGTTTTGATTGCCTAGCATGGCGAACACAATTTAAATGAATGCAAATGAATTTTCCTAGTAAGGTTTAAATGTTCTAGTTATCCATGGTGTTGAGGACAACTCATAATGACAACAAAGGTGAAAAGCATAGACCCCTTTCATAAGTCGGGCGCCCTCTAAGACTTCCTGTTTCCGAAAAACTGAAAAAGAGGTACTAGTATAGAAACTCCACAGTCTCCATAGATAGACACAGCAGCTATCCAGGAAGTACTGTTTTAAAGGCAAGAAATGCTATGAATTATGAGTTTATTTTTATTTTGACCCAGTGCTATACGCTGAAAGATTTTTTGTGAGAATTTTCAAATGAAATTTCCACATTGCATGACTGTGTTTTGAAATATTTATCCAGCTTGTAAAAATATCAGCAAATATTGAAGGTAATGTCATACATTATAATACTATGAACAAACAAACAAGTCATTCTCTACTGAAACTTCAGTCAGTGCACAACCTCCCAAAATCAAAATGCTCATCAACTGAACACAAAATGTTATACACATACGCAAAAGGTGCTATGATATGTTCATGGATACGTAGCAGACAAAAATATCAGATAAAACAGTGAGTCACTCCAAAAACAGAGCAAAATGTGAAATTCTTTGTGTCTCTGCTTGTCCTCAGTCATGGCGTTAAGCTATAGCATAAATAAAGTTCTCATTTTAATAGTGACAGAAAACTAAATTGAAATACACCCAAACCATAACATTTTGCATTGAAATACTTATTCAGAATTGTGAATGAATATTTGTACTTTTCATTATGTGTGACAGTGTTATAAATTGTAGAAGTTGGACTATGGATGAAGGTAGAAAAGAAAAAGCTCTTTTCTACCTCCATGGTCGATGGAAGGCTTAGCCACTCATCATTTTGGAGTTTGTGCACAGTTAACTAGAGAATACCCATGATGCTCTGCTTCTATTTTTAGATAACTTCTGTATTACGAACGCTATAATGCGAATATTTTTAATGTAGAATATATGTGAACACATTTTTTAAAATACTTTTTTTGCTGTTTTTATCCTAAATTTTTTTACATAAAGGCAATAACTTTATTATTATTATTCTCCCACTACAAACAGAGCGGCGTTGGTTGGTTCATTGAGTTATTTTGCCAGTTTGTATGTAGCGTGGAGCTCCATGTGTGTAGCTCTCTGACTTGGCAGTAAATGACTTGTTTTTTCATGGTGTTATAATGCTGGACATTACCTTACCTTTAAACAGATATGAAACGCCCTGAATTCCCATAACCCTGAATACTAACTCACGTACTTCTTTAGGATGTTTTCACATGTTTCTTGCAGTGCATTGTGGGAAATGGTCAAGATAGTAGACATTTGCTGATAAATTTGTGTTTCTTTCATTGCTAAACCTTTCATATATATTGTTTTCCAGTAGATCATAATCATGGATTGCACCAAACCGGTGAAATCTTAGAGGATGAAAACGAAAAACTTGTAGATGGCTTGCATAACAAAGTATCCCAGCTCAAGGAGGTGAGTCATTAGATATTAGAGCCAAAAAAAATATTTTTTTTCTAATCAGCACATGTGTGATTTCACACACCATCTTTTATTTTTACAATATTTTGTCCAAAAAAAGAAATAAAGAAACATTACTCCACCATTTTTTGTTGCCTTAGATCACGGTTACTAAAAAAAGACGGTTAGGAAACAAACCATGTTCTTTTCATTGGATGCGTGTCGCACGTAAACATTTGAAACAAAAGACGTACAATTCTGTGATAAATTAACATAAAATGTATACAGGAAATCACGATGTCATTTTCCCCAGAGTTCATTGCAATCAACAACTGCACGCCATTTTATTGTGTCTCTGTCGATACTTTCAGTAATACTAAAGTGTAAGTTGTTACAGTGAATCCTGACAAAACCTGTCGCTCGGTTTAAACTCAATACAAATTTGCCTGTCGCGTATGGCATTTTCGTTTCTAAATAACAAGATTTGCAGAAAACTGAAATAAAAAAACCAACAAAATATGATCAGAAAAAAAGACGTCAAAGAAACCATACAAGTGTTTATATTTCAGCCATGCGAAACTTTTAATGAGGAGCCATGATACCACAATACATTTTGTTGGAAATAAACAAGTTTTTATTTTTTGGTTAAAATTTTATCATAAACTGTTACCAATCACTATGATCATTTCCAGTGTATAATGTTGCAGACTTTCAGTACCTCAAGGAAAGATAAATGGCTTTAGAATAATATGTACTGTAGTATGATTTTTGAAGTTAATTCTCAATTCTGTTCACAGCTTACAATTGATATTGGTGTTGAGGTGCGAGCACAGAACAAAATGCTGGGTGACATGGTGAGTCCATGATTATAATATTTTTGTAATAATCGCATGTTTTTCGTTTCAATTGATTTTGTGTATTTCTAACCCCCTCTGGTACTGTGCTTATACACTGTCCTTACACTTAACCAGACATTCAGTGCTAAATTTGCATAGCGACATCTTCATAATTCTGCCCATGGTGCTTTGCAATATCAGAAATATTTGCAACTATTGTCTATTGCTATTATAGGGGTGGGTTCTGTAAGTCTAAAATCAAGAAAGATGCTACCATCATTTATTTTAGGGATTATAAACAATGAGAATTAAATAAGGAAAACAAGATTGGAATTTGAAAAATCAGAGCAGTAGAGTTGACCTTTAGTAGAAGTGTAATCCCCCCTTGCTAGAACAATAGGTTAAT